CAGTTGAACCCGGAGGCCTCCACCCCTGTTTAATGATGGACGATTTCTTTTCACAAAGATGGCCTCCTTTACTCCTCTCTCAAACCATCGTTCCTCTCTGTCCAGGATGTGAACATCTTCATCCCTGAAAGAGTGACCGCTGGCCTGGAGATGAGTGTAGACCACAGAGTCCTGGCGAAACGTCTTCTGTTACAAATAAAGTCAAGGTGTTTTTGTATTGAACGCTTTTGAATTTTTCACTTATCGCAGGTCTTCAGGGTATGGATCCCCGGCGATAAACAAGGGACTACTGTATTCGACTTTCATGTCTGGACTCATATGTTGATATTAAAGGTACAGGTTTTAAAAGATTCCAGTCATACCGGTTGGATAGGCGCTTAGTCCATTTAGGGACGTTCTTCAAACGTTCCCCACTTCTAAATGCTAATTTATATTCTGCAAGACATCAAGAAATTTGTTCTCATTGGCGCAGATGCGTGCTAAATATTAATCTTTTCGTTCTTGCACTGCCTCTGATCACCTGTTCTGTGCACAAGCTTGTGGCTGAACTTTTTTTCTTGCATGGGTCTGCGCCACATATTTGATGGGTCAGGACTTTGTAGGCAAGTTTAAAATAAAAGCTCATGCGTAAAAGCAGCTTAACTACTGCACTCTCATTTTGCTTCAGCTGCTCTGCTGAGGAGCACCTCGCCAAGGCTGTTAGGAAAAACAAATAGCTTTTACAACTGTTCCAGAAAAACTTTTAAACCTTATAAAGATAGTCAAAGAACTAGTGGAAGGAGACAGCATAATATATGTGCACAGTGATTGCTGGACATGGGCACCAGCGACCCCCGTGACCCAAAATGGAATAAACGGGTAAAGATAATGGATGGATGGATGGACAACTGCGGGGTCGAGAACAGATGACCTACATCTTGTGAAGTAGGTACCAGGCTTAATTGTGGGGTACCTCAAGGCTCCATTTTGGTCTAACTATCTTTTCATTATATATGGTTTTATTTATATATTTATAAATGTCTATTTTCAAAAACAGTTTTTTGTAATGTTGTTTTGTTTTGTGAATTACCTTCGTATTTATCTGCCTAATGTAACTTACAGCTATGCTGCTACTCAAGCTTTGTAAAACTACCTCAGATGTTGATAAAGATAAACTTCTTAAATATAAATAAAACAATTTCGGGGACAATTTGATCTATTAAACAATTTAAAAAGAGGTACTGTTATGATTATTATAATCACCTGTTTGCAAGTGTGACTTTTGTCAGTGGTTAAATGTCCGGCCAGAGCACTGAGGTCAACAAATAGTTGTTTCTGGACATTTACAGATTCATGCTCACACAGAGGTTTTCAGATGATGATTATTTATCTGTGAAATAGCCGACATTTGAAAATAGAAGCTTCCCAGACTATTTGGTCATTGTAAACCATAGCTTGAAACCAATTTGTTTTCTGGCTTTTAGTTTTAGTTTAACATAATATCTTGACTTTCACTGTAAGTGTTTTTATTTCTTTATGTATTTTAATATTATTGTTATTATTTTGCTGT